CACACACACACGCATACAAAAGAAGGGGCACTTGGGAGCACACAACTGACAGCTGATATTGCTAACAGCTCATGCAGCACTAATACCCATGTTTCCATTTACACATATGTGGATTCCAACACATACCCTCAAAATTAGCTGCATTGATCTAATTTGATCAAAATGTTGAGCATCACTGCTAACCTGCAGCTTGAGATAACAACAGATCCAAAAGCAATAAATGGTAGAGAGGTTTGTCCTTCAGTAATGACCTCTCCTCTGCCTCCTCTGTGCTGATACTCTAGACTCCCAAAGCTCATAGATCGGCCGCATCTCTCAAGAAGAGGGTGAGGGTCAATACTTCGAGGAGGGGGAGAATGACTGAGGAGGCTCTGATTCATAAAGGACACATTACTCTGTTCAAAGCAGCAGAGGCTTCAGTAACAATGAAACAACCTTTGGTTCAGACGGCCACCCTCGCCTCAGACAGCTTTTTGTTTGTCTGTGCTCATAGAGATGGATGGTTATTGATTTATTCTGAGCAGCAGCCTAGATGTGTTTAACTAATAGTGTAAACTAAAGTCATAAAATTTGATGTATTTTACTGCTTCATGTCATGCTTTATGTAAACACCCAATGCACTCAACTTGCAGAGGCTTTTAGTTTTAAGGTCACCAGAGTCCTCTACTTTTAGTGCTGCATACCTGTATGTTGCAACTTCCAGACCCAGAGACATCTTCATCTGCATCAGGCTGTGGTTCTCCTGAAGGAGGTGGTCTATCTGCTGGCCCAACTCCACTTTTTCCACCTCTAGCTCCTCTAAGTGTTTCTGCCAAAACAGGGAGTCAAACAGGAAAGGGAAGCAGTTAAACATGATAACATCTTTGTTCTTCTATTTTTACTCTTTGCTCAACTCTTGCTAAACGATAATAAACACTTAAATGATCTTATAACTTACATATAACTACGACCTATATCTATGCAGGTGAAATCATTGTGAAGATTAATAAGCTGGTCTGTTTTTCCTGGGAAGTCAGACACTAATGTGAGTTGACATTTGATGATAGTCATTCTGGAGCACAGAGGGAAGCAAACCTAGAAAAACCTCATCTTTGTGTGCTGAGACCTCATAAGTAACTCAGAGCAAATCCCAACAACAATCCATAAACACGAGGATCCCAGTTGCTTCGAAACTAAATCTTTTCACTCTTCTAAAATGCAAAAGGAGCACACTGAGTTAATTTGCTAAGAGTAAGAATTTGAAAACAAAGTAAATTGTTTAGTAGAGCTAAATTAAACCTTTGCATGAAATGTATGCATTAAAAATGTTTTAGATTAATATTTGTATCACTAACAAGTGTTTAATTAGTAAGCAATTCTCTTCAGACTTTGTCAAGTCAGAAGACATTAACACGCAACAGCAGACATGTCTAAACTTTGTCTTCTGTGACTTCATGTCACAGGCTGCTAATTAAGAAGGCTGTGGTTTGGCACTTTATTTTCTCAGCCAGGAATGACTCATTGTACATCCGGCTAGATAGAAGCAACCCAGTTCAACAATTTGCTGAATGCAAAAACTCAAAGAAGCACTCATTCTTTCCTCAATCAATAATCAATGTATCTAAATATCTAGGATCAACACTACGTATTAAGGCTGTATGACTAGTCATATTAATTTCATCGTAAGAGTGATAAAATTATCAAATTCTTTGTTGTGATCATTTTTAAATCAAGTCACAGATGTGAGAAAATCTAAGTACATTTTATTGAATCTTATAAATAAGTTAAATTTGATCAACATTTAACTAGTATATCCTGAAATACTTTTTTTCCTTCTCATAAAAATTATCCCAGGATCAGTACTTCTGTGTTTTTGTGTCTATGCTCTGTAAATGTCTTTTTCAAGCAGTGGTAACGATTCCATTGGTTAATAACTAAACAATCCTAACTGTGGATGCCAAATTTAGTTTTCTTTGGTTTGAAATAAATTGATATCCAAGATATAATTTGACAATTTTACATCCAAACTAGAGCAGACTACTCACCCCGAGCTGCTGGATCTCCTCACAGTGTTCCTCCCTGCGCTGGGCCACAGTCTTCTCCAGATGTAGCCTGACATCCTGAGCTGAGGCAAACTCCTTCTCCAAGGTCTGAAGTTTCAGCTGATTCTCACGTTTCTCCAGGCAAACTTGACTCAAACGACTCCTGGCCTGATCAAGCGACTCCTCCAGCTGAGCTAACTGGCCCTGGTAGGACTCTGAGGCCTCCTGCCAAGCTCTGGTCGCCCTCTGGGAAAACTCATGCCCCATCTTGAGGAGGTCTGGCGCCTGTTTGCTCCTGTGTATTTGGTTTGGAAGCATTTCGGCTCTGGATCGGGACAGAGTGGCCTCCAGGTGGGCCACATCTTCTTCATGGGTTTGAATTAGGAATTTCATTTCATGTTCCAACTGATTGACCTTCTCCTTGAGCCAGATCTGTGCTCTCTGCTCATCTTCCAGCTCCTTCCTGCTTTGCTCCATCTTTGTATTGGCCAGCATTTTGGCCTCTGCTTCCATTTGTCTCTGCATCTCTAGGACTTGTATTTCCTCAGTCAGTTTCTGAACTTCGACCTCTGTGAGGACCCTCTCCCTCCAGGCGGCATCCACTTCCAATCTTGCCTGTCTCAGCTCTTCCTCTAAGCCCCTCCTGCGTGTCAGGGTCCCCTGATTGTTGTGCCTCCAAACTTTGATCTCATTTGCAAGCATTTCATTTTCCTCCTCTAGACATTTGACCCGACTGAGGTAGGTTTCAAGGCGTCGGTTCAGGTTCAGCATCTGTTGCTTCTCCTCACCAAGGTGGTTTGGATGAAAGATGTTATGCACTCTGTGGAGCTCCATGTTAGTTTAGAAAAAAAATATTTTGGAAACTGAGGTTTCTCTCAGAAGTAAAGGGATAATGATTTGGCAGTCAGCTCTGTCTCGTCGTTCCAAGCCTGAGTCAGCGTGTGGGGTTTCCTTGTTTGTGAGGGAGCCTCCCGTGAGGTCTGGTGGAGTGACTGCCAGCAAATAAAGATGTCTCTTTCATACTGGGCTTACTGAAGGGGCCGGGCGCATGGACACCAGGGGAGGAGTAAAAAGAGTGGGAGGGGACTGGAGGCTGTGAAGAGAGAGGAAGGATACAGATGGAGAGAGGGAATGAAGCAGGATATGGGAGATGGGTGGAGGATTGTAATAAGAAGAGAGGCTTAGATAGGAAAGGGCAGACAGACTCCATAATGTAATTTACAATATTAACTCCTTCCTAACTCAGTGCTTTGTTGTGATATGCATGATGATGCCCAGAGCTACTCATTGTAGTGCTTGGTATTCATGTCTTACCGTCTGTCACTGATAAATTAAGAGCTAAATGTTGAGTGTGTCTTAAATAAAAATAAAATAAAAAAGCTTGACTCAATTTGTTTAAGGTTTGACAAAATGGGGACCGGTGTGGAGATGACTGTTTCTTAAAGGGTGGTACCATAGAAATCAGGTAATGTTACCTTCAGTTGGGATGAAAATGTTAATCATATCAAAAACTACTGAAAGGAAATTTGAATTTGCAAAATAGCCTTATTTATACACCTTGAAATTGGTTTCTGTCTCTTTAAGGGCCTCCTGTCCTTTCTGACATTCCTCCTTCAGTACATTGTTACAGCAATGCTTATACTTACTCTCCATTTATAGTTCTTCCACCATGTGTTTGCTTATTGTTGCTGCCACCAGTTTGAGGGAGACATGGGAAAGTGGTGCTTGACGGGTCTGGAGCTCGGCTTGAGTAAATATGCGATGCAGGAGCAGACATTAAGGCACTCTCACATGAAACAATATATTGCATGCCTATTTGAAGTCATTTTTATTAGTTAATTTTAAACATATCCAAGCACCTCTGACTCTCTGTGGAATGTTTTAACAATCATTGGCTTTAAAAAAGTGAAGCACTGATGGACTCCAATATATTCAGCGGTTTCACAGACATGGACGGATGAATCAAAGCAACACTTCAGGTATATTTTTGATTTAGGAATGACAGAACATAATGTCAAGCTCAAAGTTGACTTTGCGTAATATCTTCCATTTGTGGAAAATAACATCATAGATCTATTTTATCAAAGTTTTCTCTCAGCTCCTGGATGCAACAGCTTGCAGATGATGATCAATGTGTAATTTATCTTAAAGACAAACCATAGAAATCATTGAGCTGTAATGAAACAAATGCATGAATCTGACTTCATATACTGAACCACACCAAACTCACAAAACAAAGTGCTGAAAGACTGAAAATATAAATTTCACTTCAAAAACTATATTTATGCATTTCTGCTTTTGTTTTCATAGAGAAACTGTAGCACATCTGTCTTACAAAAGCTCTCATGGTGGGTGGAGTTTGCCCACGGAAACAGAAAAGGTTCCTGTCAAAAGTTGTATGAACACCTGCTTTCTCGCAGTTTCCTAGTGAAGTAAAGAGAATAGTGACAAAGTGGGCTTGTGTGTGTGCAAGTCTGCAAGTGTGCATGTGTGTGTGTGTGGTGAAATATGGTTCATAGCTGGACGGAAAGATATAGAATTGGACATTTTTTTATCTTTTTTACCCTTTTACTTTACTGCCAGGTCAAATTGACCTGAACAGTATGTATGTAATGTGCCAACAGTTTTTTGGGGGGATTTTTTGCAGGGGGGCTGCAAATGTATAAAATGAATACATTTTCAGTTTGTATACAGAGTGCACCTATTAAGATCCATGCAAAAAAATACTTCCAACACAACAGGACGGTTAAGGGATGCCTAGGACTGACTTTGTTCATAAGACCCAACACTTTCACTACATATACATAATATTCAGTGTATTTTAGAATCTAATTCATGCATATGTATTTCAGCGAAAAGCAGAAGGGGTTTGGCAATAGCCGTGTGTGACAGACTTGCCTCAGACGAAATAGCCACTTCTTTTGCATAATGCTCTCTTGCTTAAAATCAGTGGTTTCTCAGTTTAGAAGACAGATCCTCTAAATTGAGAATTAAGACGAGACAAAAGTAAGACAAGAAATGGCAGATGAAGACATCCAATATGCTTCAGTTGTCTTCAAGAATAAGAAACAACCTCAATCAAAAAGTAAGTTATATTTTATTCACACATTAGAGAAGAAAACAGAGCAACTTATTATTATTGGCTTATTTTGTCCGTTTTTTTTATTTGGTAATTCTTAGTTGAAATATTGATAGACGTTCCAGATACCTTATTTTAAGATGTAAAGTATTAGTTGAAAAGAATATGTCTCTTCAATTACTAACATGGAAACAACACAGTTAAGGATGTTTGGAGTCCATCAGTGGTTCACTTTTTTAAAGCCAATGATTGTTAAAACATTTCACAGAGAGTCAGAGGTGATTGGATATGTTTAAAATTAACTAATAAAAATGACTTCAAAATGTAAAGAATCCTCTATCACAGTTATCCTGTTAATCTTTTCTAATTACTCCAGTAACTCAAAAACTCTGTTTTCCCTTCATATAGACTGTAGATAAGATATTGGTTTCCATATGTTTCTATCTGATGATCCGTCCATGACAGCAACAAGTATTATCTTAGGATTTTAGTCATGATTCAAAAATTCCTTTTTGGGCAATAAATTAATAGTTGTCTGAATTAATTTAGATAACTGAATATGAAATATGCAGAATAATACTGATAGGAGAAACTCTGGTATAAAGTCAGTCATTCAGGACATGGGAATCTTCTCTTCTAAATCCTAAGAAAACTGGACTTCTCTTGCCTCTTGAATTAGAGTCAGCCTCTCATTTCTTGGTAATATTGAAATTATTTTCATTTCAATAGTTGCAGGTCCAAAGAAGGAGGAAACTATTTACGATGAAATAAAGATGCAAAACGAAACACCTCAGGAGTCTTCTGACTCAAAAGGTAAGTTATAAATGAATTATTTTCAAACTCCAGTCCTTGTTTGCTGGTGTCTGAAAGTGACAGATTTGTCTATGCGCACATGTTTTTCATGTCCATATCAGGATCCTGCAGAGTAAGGATGTAACAGAGCCATGGTTGGAGACAGAAACACTTTGACTGAAATACTGTCACTGTTAGACAATGTGTCCCATGCAAGAAACTGTTACTCAACTGGAAAGTTGTGACAGACTGAAGCTTTGTTGGTGCACAAAGGAGAGATACAACAAACCCTTTATTTTAGCAGTTAATTGGCCTTAAAAGCATCACTGCTCCAAAGCTCAAAAAGTCTTTACAATCTTCCATTTATATGAACATTTTTCTTTTTTGAAATAAAATTTCTGCTTTTATTTGAACAGTTTTTTCACTTCTTGTCGTGTTTTGGATTCTTTTTCACTAATATATGTGAACCTCTTGTACAATTGTTCTCTTGAAATTAATTTAATCTGACTATGCTCTTTAAAATCTGCAGCTACTTTTCTCATGTTGAAAGTTTCTTGGCAGTAAATTTGAGATATTTTATTCTCTATTTAATTACTGCTGCTTGGTGAAGATAAACAATTTTATTCAGCAATAAATCCTTTCACACAGTGTTGCTCCAAAGTATGTGTGTATGTATGTGCAATGTTTTTTTTTTATTATTATTATTACCTGTCAATTGCACTGGCCAATCTTCATCCCTGCATGGATAAATGGGTTCAGACTATAGATAGTCAGTCAATCTCAATGCTGTTTTCATCTCAAATCATTCAGAATAAAGGGAAAAAATATATAAATTTTTTGTTCACTGCTGAACTAGGAATTAATAATATTTGCTTTGCTTCAACAGGACTTTTATCAGAGAAGGAAGCAGAAAGAAGACGCCGTTACTATCTGAAGTTGGCTTGTTGTTTGGGGACATTTTGTACTATATTGTTGTTGGGAATCATAGGAGTCACTGTTTATCGTAAGTACTGTTTTAAAGAGGAAGATACTGAATACATATCAGAGATTCTAATAATATTTATAGAGTCAAAAAATGTAAAAAAAAGTTTGTGAAAAGTTGAGGTGTTTCTAATTTAACTGTCATACTTGGCAAAATATACAGTTAGGTTTACATTATTGGAAGCTCTTCTCAACACACTAAAAGTTACCTGACTTAGAAAAATATATTATGTTAGACATTGCATTTAATATTTAATCACTGGTTTAGTGTCAGGTTGGGAATGGAAGTTACAGGCCTGTGAAATTCAGGATTGTGAATCTTTTTAAGCAATTCTATGACTTTCACATGTTTAAAGCAATAAGAAGGCCTACATTAGGTATGAGAAGAACTGAAAATACAGTAAATTTGGCATCTACTAAAATGATTAAAAAGATAAAGTTATCAGTAAAATTTCTACTAGTTTAGAATCATATTTTGTTCTTTTTCCAGTTGTATGGTATCAGCAAAATGAGCTAAATGAGCTGAAAGAAAGTGAAGCAAAAATCAAAGACTTAACAGACCAGATCAATAACCTGACAGAAGTCAAAAATGTCTCAGACAGCAAGATCCACAATCTGACGACAGAAAACCAGGAGCTCAAGAAGAAAACCCAGGAGCTCAAGGAGAAAAACCAGAACCTGATGAACCAAACCCAGAAACTGGAGGGAGAAACGAGAACCCTAAAGGAACAACTAGACAACATCATGAAAACTCAGAATGAGCTCAATGTCAGTCGAGCTCAGTGGAGCATTGATCAATACTGCCGTAAAGAAAAGGGTAAGATCAGCTCGTTTATTATCTAAAAACAAAACTTTGTAATGACAATTTCAGTTAAATATATATTTGTTGATCTCTTGTTTAAGGGTGGAAGTGTGAACCTTGTCAAAATGGCTGGATATTCTCCAGCTCCAGTTGCTATGCATATAATAATGAACCAAGAGCTACTCAGAGAACCTGGGAAGGAGCACAGCAAGACTGTAAAGGAAAAGTTTCCCATCTTGTTGTTGTAAATAGGCAAGAGGAAAAGGTAAATGTGATGAATGAACTGAAACTGTTATGTTTTTGAAGTTTTTAAATGTTTCCCTTTTTTCTCATGTTGATTATAGAATTATGTCAAAACAATCAGTCCTGCTGGAAAAGAAAAAGAAATTAATGGATACTGGATTGGCCTGAAAGCTGAAGGAACCAAATGGAAATGGACCGATGGAACTGAACTAGCTGACCAGTAAGAGACACATACTATCTTATGCAATGACTGGTAATATCAGTAAGATCATGTTTAACTGATGTTTTTTGTCAGGTCCTGGGTAAATCAATCTGCAGTCGACGGTCAGTGTGTAACTTGCCTCCAAGACAAAGAATGGCAGTCAGTGAATTGTGAGGACAAGAATGCCTGGATCTGTGAAAAGAAGGCTTTATCTGTTTAATAGGTCACATTAAATAGATAATATTTAAATCTCCAAAGGACATCAGGGACTATTTTAATATAAATACAGGAAACTGATTAGGACTAGACTTTTATTTTGCTGTTTTCATCTGTCATAGCCAGTAAAAGTTTATGTTTGTTCACATCTGTTTACCCACATAACCAGTTTTTTTGTAATTTTTTTTAACATGTACATTTTTATAAGATTTATAAGTCTCTTGTTCAGGATGTTGGTACATATTTTATGTGCCTATCTTTTTTTTGTTAATTTATCTAGAAATTTTACAAGAAAAATGGTTTTAACCTCTGTGTCTGTTAAACTATATAAAATAATGCTGAAAGTAAAACCCACTGAAAGAAAAACACTCATCAAACTCAGTTATCTAAAAACTTGGACTTGTTTTTGTCTTCCTCTATTCAGCTCTTGCTTTTATACCTGACATCTGTATTCATGGTTTTTCTCCTGTACAATCTGTATTTGCTGAAATGATCTTCAAAACAACCAGGAGCAGTGAATGAGCTAAAAGTGAAATTTATACAGCAAAAAATATTTCTTATTTAAAAAAACATCACATGTTTTGTGAAAGAGTTGATCTAAAGTCTCACCTGTAAATAAACTGCCACTGTAAATTAAGGCTCCTTTCATGTTTATGTCATTGTTCTCATTTTCCAGCAACAGAGACCTGATAATATAATAAAATGCTGTACATAATTAATTATTTTGAAATATCATTTCTTGGTGCTTTGACATCTATAATCCAAATACATTGAATTTGTGACATTGTGTAAAACATAAATAACAGCAGAATACAAATATTTGCAGATTATTTTCAGGCTAACTGAATTTACTGCTAAGACAAAATATTTCATATCCAAATGGATAAAATGAGTTCAATAGAACATGTAGACAAGAATTTACAAATTGTGATATTCTGTTTTTATTCATGCTTTGCATAAAATAAAATAAAAAATCATTCATAACAGTGAACTATTTTTTTATGTACAAGTTTTTAAAAATCTTTTATGTGTTTCAAAGTAGAAAGAACCATTTTTAGTATTATTCTGCAATGATTGTTCTTCAGCCACTTGAGGGTGCTGCTTTAGTTTCTGACATAGCTTAAGAGTAATTCTGCTTATAAGAAAGTTATTTTCCTATTTACGATACAATTAAGAATTAAGCCAAAAGTGTGGTTGCTAAAAGACAAAAACTTTGTGTTGTGCCAAATATTTTCTCTGGCAAGAAGATTTTAATTCATCAACAAGTGTTTTTACTTCTATAATTGATAATGTTTTACTGCTGTGACCTGTTTTCTCATCACCACGCTGAATTAGGTAATGAAGCTTCAATAATAATTAAAAAGCTCAAACTATGATTTTTTCTTCATTTTGTTGTATTTTCCAGTCTTATGTCCCCGTCCTGCCTGAGCAGGGAGCTTTCAGCCGTTTAATCCAGGAGAGAATCTTCTAGTCCATAAATAGGAACCTTCCACTTTACACTGAGCTCATCGTGGTTAACTGCTGTTGATATGTTGCATGTAACTTGATTCACAACATGTAATAATATTTTCACCATCTACGTACTATTTCCTTTAATTAATGGTTATTCCATCATACGACCAAACCCCAGCTACGTCCCCCTCTCACAGCTTTCTAGAAGCTCGTGTTAAAATCACAGAACATTTTATTAGATGGCTCAAGATCTGTTATCCCATTTTATAAGTAATAACAGACACCTGGGAATAGGATTTTTTTTTCTTTTCTTTTATGTATTGCAAGCAGAAGATTGAAGCTCGTTTGTATTCTGTTCCTTTTAACCTTTCACTCAGACCATTGTATAGGTATTAGCCAAAATAACACAATAATGTGTCACAATTAAAATAAATATTTGCTTCTTATTATGCAGAAGCATAATTTATGTTTTTATAAAAATAAACATCAGCCTTGTAGTGATTTAAAAGTGACTATTATTATTAAAAAAAACTAGTCTTGGTGTCCCTGCGTTGCTCAGTAAGAGAAGAGGTATGGCAAGAACAGAAGCTGAAGTGTTTTTGTCTCTATTGCATGTTCGATGAACCAACCCTGGGCCGATTATTGCATAACTTTCCTTTGTCTCTGTTCATCATGTCAAGTTACTAATTAAAGAAATTCAATGTCATTTCATGAAATCACAAAATTACCTTGTAGGGCTGCAGCTGACATACATTTACATCAACAGGTGCTATCAGAAGTTGTTCTTTGACAGGGAGTCTGAAAGTTATTGTTCAAAACTGAACAGACTGGGGCCAGGATTCAGTGTCTGTACTCAGAGGGGACATATGTTACATATCTATAAAAGGTGGTGTATTTCACACCAAGCTGTACCAACAGAGATAGCAGAAATATTAAATACAATTTACATGCTGAGCATCAGTGCAGACAGAATGACAGACCTACAGTCTTATTTTGTTCTCATATTTATTCAATTAATCTTGAAAACTGTGAATGTTGTGGTCTGCTGAAAGCCTGCCACTTGAATATTTTCACACTGTCTGAGATGGTGTGACTTTTACATGCTAAAAACTTCATGAGAAAGAAAACATGTAAAGTAACACACCTCTTCCTCTTTTGGCTCAAATATTTCTGAAGCAACATTCTAGCTGCAGTTGCTTAACTTTCCCTTTAGATCTACAGTGACTCCACTCACTGAATTATGATTGTTTATATGTTCCCAAAACAGGACACCGTTATGTCCTAATGTTTATTTCCAGATCACGTAATAATATGAATTACTTTTCTAGTTTAAAAACAGTAGAAGTTTTAAATTGTCAGAGCATAAAAGATACTTGAGACTAAAGGGAATTTTTTACTTCTCCTAAATGGTGGTTAGTCTCTTGCTCAATTTGTATGAAAATTTTGCCAACAAACCAGACAAACATTAGCAGTCAGGGTGTAGAGATGGCCGAGGATGAGTTTCAGGATGCTTCAGTTGCTTTCAACGACAAGAGACCAGCAAGAGGTGAGCTTTGTGTTATGTTTTAGTAACATGATGCTATCTGTGGTTGTCTGATCACTGCTGAGTGTAATGTGGATTTGATTAAAATGGGGTACCTGTAGAGCAATAGTTCCCAAAGTGTGGGGAGCGGCTCTTGAGGGGCGCAGTGACATGGCAGCGGGGGCACCTGAAGCAACATGGATGAATAAAAAAAAAAACAGTTTCACAAAAGTGTTTCACTGTAAAGATGGTTTATTGTATGCAATCCATAGAGGGGCCCAGAAAACCTTTGGGAACCACTGCTGTAGGGACAGATAGCCAGCCTGCCATCAGCTTTCTGCCTGTTACACTTACAGAACAGATCTATGTATTTTTCCACATCTCTGTGTGGTGCCAATCAGTGTTGAGAACATTTAGTAAGGTCAGAATAAAAACAAATAAATATGATTATCACCATATGTTTTGGCCTTCAGTTTCTTCATATGTGATAAATTGCAATGACAGGAAAGCAGATGTTAAAACAATGTAATTTTAACATTTTATTAAATTTATTTTGTAATACTTGAGGACATTTGAACTTTCATTTATTTTAACTGAAAACCAAGAAGAGGTTGTGTGTGATGAAGTGCAGATACCAAATCAAACAGCTCAGCAAACATCTGACACAAAGTTTCAGTTCCGATTAACTTTCTTCAGAAAGAAAATAACTAATGAGAAAACACAAAATGTGAAAAAAATATTTTTTACCAAACAGCAGCTGAACCAACAGTCTAAACTGATACTATGAACATCTCCTCATTATCTCTAATTATCTTCTTTTTTCACAAAAAGCTGCTGTACTAAAGACACAAGTGGTGCTGTTAGTGAATTCAACATTATCTGATTATCTGATTTTATAATAATATCAGGACCAACATAAAATCAACATATACTGCCTGCTTCATTAATCAAGCAAAAGTCATGTAAAGAGATAACTGAAATTAACATGACTCTGTTACATTCAGAATAAGCACACTGCTCAAATATATAGGTTTTCTCATGTAAATATAAAGAGTCAAAGAGGATTTATAAAAGAGACGTCTAGTGGAAATGAGGAAGGGCCTGCTCCAACAGACAGCTGCTTTCAGCAGATAACAGTCTTACGGACTTTAAGAGACCACAAACAAAGATGTGCAAATCGAAAGACTCAGAAAGTCTAAATAATTCACCTTAAAATGACTGGATAGTGCTGAAAGCTCAGTAAGATGCATTTAGGATGATTCATTCCTTCTGTGGATTATTTTATGTTTGTTGAAATAGAGTCTCAAATAAGACAGAAAATATTGCTTTGTTGAATCTTTAAGATAATCAGTAGATACCAAAAATAATAATTTTATATTTCTCAATTGAAAATAAAACTTTTCTCTGCCACCTTTCTTTGTTAAATGATGACAATATTTTTAACATTTTAAAATAAAAAAAAGTGTCAATATAAAATAAAGAATACTGATGTAAGTTTGCTGTGTCTTCATTAAACTGGATGTTGAATAATTTCTGATTCATTTCCGCAGGACTTTTGTCAGATGAAGAGAAAAGAAGGTTTTGCTGGTTTAAGCAGTTGGCTTGTTGCTTTGGGACTCTGTGTGTGATTTTGGTCTTGGCCAGGTTTGGAGTCTGTAAGTATGTACTGTAAACATGTAACATAACAAACATGAATAAGATTCCTCTGTTCAAATATATGCTAATGTAGACAACATATTCTGGAGACATGAGTTCCTTTGGGTTTACTTGTAAAATAACCAACAGAGGGAATTAGAGAGATGCTTTAAATCTTTAATTAATGACATTGTGTAGCTGCTATGTATTTGCTTTTCTAACTAAAACTGTGAGATGTTTGAAAGTTTTGTAAGAATATTTTTAAAATGTTTCATTTTACATGTCAAATGGACAGTAAAAATCCTCACACTTTTAGAAGAACACAATACATTTCTTTTGGTTTTGTTTTGCAAATTTTGAAAAAGAATTCAAAATTCTGTTTATGTTTTAAAATTATATTAACTATATGTAATATGTGACATCTTATTGTTGTGCAGCTGTATTTCTTCACAAGAGCAAATTGAACCAGCTGGAAAAGACAAACCAGGAGCTCAACGACAAAAACCAGAACCTGATAAACCAAACCCAGAATCTGGAGGGAGAAACGAGAATCCTGAAGGAACAACTAGACAACATGATGAAAACTCAGATTGAGCTCAATGTCAGTCAAGCTCAGTGGAGCATTGATCAATACTGCCGTAAAGAAAAGGGTAAGATCAGAGCTTTATTATCTAAAAACAAAACTTTGTAATGACAATTTCAGTTAAATATATATTTGTTGATCTCTTGTTTAAGGGAGGAAGTGTGAACCTTGTCAAAAAGGCTGGGATCCCTTCAGCTCCAGTTGCTATGCATATAATGATGAACCAAGAGCTACTCAGAGAACCTGGGAAGAAGCACAGCAAGACTGTAAAGGAAAAGTTTCCCATCTTGTTGTTGTCCATAGTCAAGAGGAAAAGGTAAATGTGATGAATGAACTGAAACTGTTATGTTTTTGAAGTTTTTAAATGTTTCCCTTTTTTCTCATGTTGATTATAGAATTATGTCAAAACAATCAGTCCTGCTGGAAAAGAAATTAAAGGATACTGGATTGGCCTGAAAGCTGAAGGAACCAAATGGAAATGGACCGATGGAACTGAACTAGCTGACCAGTAAGAGACACATACTATCTTATGCAATGACTGGTAATATCAGTAAGATCATGTTTAACTGATGTTTTTTGTCAGATCCTGGGTAAAACAACCTGCAGTCGACGGTCAGTGTGTAACTTGCCTCCAAGACAAAGAATGGCAGTCAGTGAATTGTGAGGACAAGAATGCCTGGATCTGTGAAAAGAAGGCTTTATCTGTTTAATAGGTCACATTAAATAGATAATATTTAAATCTCCAAAGGACATCAGGGAATATTTTAATAGTGTAAGGAAGGTCGCATCGCGAGATTTGTTGTTTTAAGTCTGTTTATTCTGTTCTTGACAGCTGGGGTTGCCTTAGCAACCAGTTCTAACAGCTGATCCGTTATGTTTTGACTGTTGTTGGATATGGCGCTCACCGCTCGCTGCCCGGACATCGCTGAGCGCTGTCCGTGCCAGAGCTAGAGGCCAGAAGCCGCACAGTTCATTGTGGCAACAGCTCAGTTTTTGTTGTAATTCCTCCGTGTGCTGGAAGGAGTAAAGTTTCTGCAAGAGACCCTTCGTTTTTTGTCGTGTATCTTCAAGTACCGACACGCCTCCTTAACAACGGAAATCAAAAAGCACGACAATATAAATACAGGAAACTGATTAGGACTAGACTTTTATTTTGCTGTTTTCATCTGTCATAGCCAGTAAAAGTTTGTGTTTGTTCACATCGGTTTACCCACATAACCAGTTTTTTGTAATCTTTTTTAACATGTACATTTTTATAAGATTTATAAGTCTCTTGTTCAGGATGTTGGTACATATTTTATGTGCCTATTTTTTTTTTTTGTTAATTGAATTATCTAGAAATTTTACAAGAAAAGTCATGGTTTTAACCTCTGTGTCTGTTAAACTATATAAAATAATGCTGAAAGTAAAACCCACTGAAAGAAAAACAGAACTCAGTCAAACTCAGTTATCAGATGTTCTAAAACTTGGACTCTTTGTTTTACTTCCTCTGTTTATTCAGTTATTCTGTTTTTAAACCTGACGTCTGTATTCATAGTTTTTCTCCTATACAAACTGTATTTGCTGAAATGAGCTTCAAAACAACCAGGAGCAGTGAATGAGCTAAATGTGAAATTTATACAGCAAAAAATATTTCTTATTTAGAAAAACATCACATGTTGTGTGAAAGAGTTGATCTAAAGTCTCACATGTAAATAAACTGCCACTGTAAATTAAGGCTCCTTTCATTGTTTTGTTATTGTTCTCATTTTCCTGCAACAAAGACCTGATAATATAATAAAAATGCTATAGAAAAGGAGAAAGAACATTTTTTTTGTATGAATTTGCAATAATTCTGCTCAGCCACTAGAGGGTGCTGGTCTAGTTTCTGATATAGGTTAGGAGTAATGTTATCAATAGTATGGATTAATTAAAAGTCTGCTCATATAAGACGTTATTAAATACATGTTTTTCTATTTACTATACAATTAAGAATTAAGCCAAAAGTGTGGTTGCTAAAAGACAAAAACTTTGTGTTATGCAAAATATTTTCTATGGCAAGAAGATTTTAATTCATTAATAATTGTTTTACCCAATTCAGATATAATTATGAAAAAAGAGAAACACCTGCTACCAGGAGTTGATCTTTGACACCGACTCTGAAAATGATTATTCAAAAATGAATAGACTGGGCATCTTTTACATATCTATAAAAGGTGTTGTATTTCACACAAGGAGTATTGATCACAGAGATAGTAGAGGTATTAAACACAACTTGCATGCTGAGCATCAGTGCAGATGGTATGTCAGACCTACAGTCTTATTTTGTTCTCATATTTACTGAATTAATCCACTTATAACTTGCAGAAACTGTTAAAGTCAAAGATGTGTTCTTGGTCTGCTGAAGGCCTGCCACTTAAATTGTTTCACACTGTGTGAGATGGTGTGACTTTTACACGCTAAAAACTTTGTGAGAAAAGAAAATAAAGTAACAAACCTCTTCCTCTTTTGCTTAAACATTTTTGAAGCAATATTCTAGATGCAGTTGCTTAACTTGCCCTTTTGCACTACAGAGACTCCACTCACTGAATTATGATTGTTTATATGTTCCCAATACAAGACAACGTTATGTTTCAATGCTTTTGTTCCAGATCAAATAATAATCTAAATTAATTTTTCTCGTTTAAAAACAGTAGAAGTTTTAATTCGTCAGAGAATAAAACGTACTTCAGACTAAAGGGAAATTCTTACTTATTCTTGGCAGTGCCATTTCAGGGGGCATAGGAAGCAGTATGGATGGAAAAAAAAAGAGACAGTTACACAAAAATGATTCACTGTAAAGATGGTTTATACTATGTTTTGTTGTAACCTGAAGAGTGATATAAACATCAGTGGAGTTTGAAATCAAAATATTTTTATGGGTTTATGTCTGGTTGAATGATGTCTGTGCCCAGTAGATTTTTTTCTTCTTTTTGGGGGGGATTTTATTGTAATCCATAAGTGGTCCCAGAAAATCTTAGGGAAACCGAGATAGATAGCCAACCCGCCACTGGGTTTCTGCCTGTTACACTTACAGAACAGATCTATGTATTTTTCCATAGCTCCACTTGGTGCCAATAAGTGTTGAGGACATTTAGCTCGTACACCAGGGATTAATTCACCTGTATCACGGGACAGGATGGGAGTCAGCGTTCCATCTGCATCATATGCAGTGCAAAGTTGAACAACTCCAGTCACTTGCAAAACTAAGAGAACACTTATTGACGCTGCACAGAGATGGGAAAAGTAAAAAAAAAGGATTTTGTGGATCCAAAACGACAAAAAACAAATTAAATTTCAAATTTAAAAAAATTAAGTTTTAAAAATAAAATTTATTTTTAATTAGTAAAACTGCAAAAAAAATATACAAATATTTTTGGAGGCTGAAATTCTTTTATATAAAACTGGTGGGTTTGATACCTCAAAAAAGATTGAGAACCGCAGGTCTAGAGGCCTATTAATATAGAAACAACCCAGTTAAACAATGTGCTGAATGCAAAAACTCAAAGAAGCACTCATTCTTTCCTCAATCAATAATCAATGTATCTAAATATCTAGGATCAACACTACGTATTAAGGCTGAATGACTAGTTATATTAATTTCATTATGAGTGACAAAATAGTATAATTATTTATTGTGGTAATTTTGAAATCCTAACAGTAACAGATGTGAGAAAATCTAAGTACATTTTGTTGAATTTTATAAATAAGTTTGATGTTATCAACATTTAACTAGTATATCCTAAAATACTTTTTTTCCTTCTCATAAAAATTACCCCAGGATCAGTACTTCTGTGTTTTTGTGTCTATGCTCTGTAAATGTCTTTTTCAAGCAGTGGTAACGATTCCATTGGTTAATAACTAAACAATCCTAACTGTGGATGCCAAATTTAGTTTTCTTAGGTTTGAAATAAATTGATATCCAAGATATAATGTGACAATTTTACATCCAAACTAGAGCAGACTACTCACCCCGAGCTGCTGGATCTCCTCACAGTGTTCCTCCCTGCGCTGGGCCACAGTCTTCTCCAGATGTAGCCTGACATCCTGAGCTGAGGCAAACTCCTTCTCAAGGTCTGAAGTTTCAGCTGATTCTCACGTTTCTCCAGGCAAACTTGACTCAAACGACTCCTGGCCTGATCAAGCGACTCCTCCAGCTGAGCTAACTGGCCCTGGTAGGACTCTGAGGCCTCCTGCCAAGCTCTGGTCGCCCTCTGGGAAAACTCATGTCCCATCTTGAGGAGGTCTGGCGCCTGTTTGCTCCTGTGTATTTGGTTTGGAAGCATTTCGGCTCTGGATCGGGACAGAGTGGCCTCCAGGTGGGCCACATCTTCTTCATGGGTTTGAATTAGGAATTTCATTTCATGTTCCAACTGATTGACCTTCTCCTTGAGCCAGATCTGTGCTCTCTGCTCATCTTCCAGCTCTTTCCTGCTTTGCTCCATCTTTGATTGGCCAGCATATTGGAAATTTGAATTTGCAAAATAGCCTTATCAGACACCTTGAAATTTGTTTCTGTCTCTTTAAGGGCCTCCTGTCCTTTCTGACATTCCTCCTTCAGTACATTGTTACAGCAATGCTTATTCTTACTCTCCATTTATAGTTCTTCCACCATGTGTTTGCATATTGTTGCTGCCACCAGTTTGAGGGAGACATGGGAAAGTGGTGCTTGACGGGTCTGGAGCTCGGCTTGAGTAAATATGCCATGCAGGAGCAGACATTAAGGCACTCTCACATGAAACAATATATTGCATGCCTATTTGAAGTCATTTTTATTAGTTAATTTTAAACATATCCAAGCACCTCTGACTCTCTGTGGAATGTTTTAACAATCATTGGCTTTAAAAAAGTGAAGCACTGATGGACTCCAATATATTCAGCGGTTTCACAGACATGGACGGATGAATCAAAGCAACACTTCAGGTATATTTTTGATTTAGGAATGACAGAACATAATGTCAAGCTCAAAGTTGACTTTGCGTAATATCTTCCATTTGTGGAAAATAACATCATAGATCTATTTTATCAAAGTTTTCTCTCAGCTCCTGGATGCAACAGCTTGCAGATGATGATCAATGTGTAATTTATCTTAAAGACAAACCATAGAAATCATTGAGCTGTAATGAAACAAATGCATGAATCTGACTTCATATACTGAACCACACCAAACTCACAAAACAAAGTGCTGAAAGACTGAAAATATAAATTTCACGTCACAAATACCTAAACATATACATTTCTGTTTTCATTTTCATAGAGAAACTGTAGCACATCTGTCTTACAAAAGCTCTCATGGTGGGTGGAGTTTGCCACAGAAACAGAAAATGTTCCTGTATAAAGTTGTATGAACAGAGAATAATGAGAAAGTGGCTTGTGTGTGTGTGTGTGTGTGTGTGTGTGTGTGTGTGTGTATGCGTGTGTGTGTGTGTGGGGGGGGGGAGGGGGGGGGGAGTGGGGAGATGAAATATGTATATCAAATGAATAAAATTTAAATTGTTATGCAGCACCTTTTAAGACAATTAGAAAAAGTTTCAAGCACAAAAAAACTTCCAACTATTTTTTTAAAACACTGGCAAACGTTAAAACAGGTCAATTTGACCTGCAACATAACAGGAGGTTTAAGAGATGCCCCTACCTGACACAACACTTCCACTACGTATCCCAGGTGTTGATAATATCGAAGGTATTTTAGAATCTTTAATTCATGAATATTTTACACAGTCAAAAGCAGAAGGAGTTTTGCAATAGCCAATCCCCTTCAATAAGTTGTTATTGCCTCAGATGAAATAACCCCTCCTCTTACAAAATGCTCTCTTGCTTAAAATCAGTGGTTTCTCAGTTTAGAAGACAGATCCTCTTAATTGAGGATTAAGACGAGACAAAAGTAAGACAAGAAATGGCAGATGAAGACATCCAGTATGCTTCAGTTGTCTTCAAGAATAAGAAACAACCTCAATCAAAAAGTAAGTTATATTTTATTCACACATTAGAGAAGAAAACAGAGCAACTTATTATTATTGGCTTATTTTGTTCGTTTTTTTTTATTTGGTAATTCTTAGTTGTAATATTGATAGACGTTCCAGATACCTTATTTTAAGATGTAAAGTATTAGTTGAAAAGAATATGTCTCTTCAATTACTAACATGGAAACAACACAGTTAAGGATGTTTGGAGTCCATCAGTGCTTCACTTTTTTAAAGCCAATGATTGTTAAAACATTTCACAGAGAGTCAGAGGTGTTTGGATATGTTTAAAATTAACTAATAAAAATGACTTCAAAATGTAAAGAATCCTCTATCACAGTTATCCTGTTAATCTTTTCTAATTACTCCAGTAACTCAAAAACTCTGTTTTCCCTTCATATAGACTGTAGATAAGATATTGGTTTCCATATGTTTCTATCTGATGATCCGTCCATGACAGCAACAAGTATTATCTTAGGATTTTAGTCATGATTCAAAAATTCCTTTTTGGGCAATAAATTAATAGTTGTCTGAATTAACTTAGATAACTGAAATATGAAATATGCAGAATAATACTGATAGGAGAAACTCAGGTATAAAGTCAGTCATTCAGGATATGGGAATCTTCTCTTCTAAATCCTAAGAAAACTGGACTCCTCTTGCCTCTTGAATTAGAGTCAGCCTCTCATTTCTTGGTAATATTGAAATTATTTTCATTTCAATAGTTGCAGGTCCAAAGAAGGAGGAAACTATTTACGA